GGCGCCGCCCGCTCGCCGCCGGATTACAAGCGATCGCGCCCGGCCGCGGCCGGAGTCGCTCGGCGCCGCGTCTCCGCCGTCTGCACCGCCTGCGCCTGCTCCTTCTTTTATTTCTCTCTCTCGGGTGGCCGTCACTGCGGTGGCGGTGTCCGCTTCACAACTTTCCAAGAAAGTTCAGGAACTCAGCTCCGGGGCGGCCGAGCCGCGCGCGGCAGCCACCTCGAGGAGCCGCTGGGGAGTTCCGAGGGCGCGTCGCCACCGGGCTTCGCCGTCGCTGCACCTGCCGCGTCCGCCGCCGCCGCTGCCGCCTGGTGCCAGGCTGTGGGCAGACCCAGGCGGCAGCGGCAGCGGCGGTGTCGGGGTCACCTCCTGCCGCCCGCGCCCCTGCCTGGGTCCCCAGCACCGCCGCTGCCGCCCCACGTGCGCGGCCGTTCCTGGAGCGCACGCTGCGTGCCGCCTCCAATTTTTCTTTTTTTAAAATAACTTTCTCCCTGGTCTGTCTTTCTCCCCACTCCTACTTTTTGCATAAAGGGGAAAAAAGTTGTGTTGAAAGTGTCCACCGATCGCCACGTCCCTGTTATCTTCCCTTCCCTCCCCGCCCCACTTCGTTGTTTCTTTTTTTTAATTTAAAGTGGCAACAGTACTGCTGAGTGTTTATTTTGTTTTACGATCGATAGCTTCCTTTGCTTGGTGCCGGCGGCGGCTAAGCGGCGGAGTGGCGTGGACCTCATGTAGAAATGACAACAATGGAAGGGGCCAGCGGGTCGAGTTTTGGAATAGACACGATTTTGTCCAGTGCCAGCTCGGGCAGCCCCGGCATGATGAATGGAGATTTCCGCCCGCTCGGCGAGCCCAGGACCGCGGATTTTAGGAGTCAGGCCACTCCGTCCCCCTGTTCGGAGATCGATACCGTAGGAACGGCGCCTTCTTCTCCCATCTCGGTCACCATGGAACCCCCGGAGCCGCATCTGGTAGCAGACGGGTCCCAGCACCACCACCATCTCCACCACAGCCAACAGCCCCCGCCAGGCGCGGCCCCGACGCAAACTTTGCAGCCTTCGTCCCAGCAGCAGCAGCCACCGCCGCCGCCACCGCAGCAGCAACAGCAGCCGCCACCGCAGCCGCCACCGGCCCAGCAGCTAGGCTCGGCCGCCTCGGCCCCCAGGACTTCCACCTCTTCTTTTTTAATTAAGGACATCTTGGGCGACAGCAAACCTCTGGCGGCGTGTGCACCCTACAGCACCAGCGTCTCCTCTCCTCACCACACCCCCAAGCAGGAGAGCAACGCGGCACTCGAGAGCTTCAGGCCAAAGCTCGAACAGGAGGACGGCAAAACCAAACTCGACAAGCGGGAAGATGCCCAGAGCGACATCAAATGCCACGGTGAGTCGAGACGCTCAGGCTCATTAGCTGTCTAGCTTCTCCTCCTGGTTCCCTGTCTCCCCTTCAGTCTCCCGAAAATGTCGGATGCTGAGTTTTTCCAGGAGCTTGCGGCGAAGTCTGCAACCTGGAGGGAGGTCTGGGCGTGCGTTTCGGGATTCGTCCGAAGTTCTTATTGTTAAATTTCTACCCCTCGATCGTCACCGTAACCGCCGTGCAACTCTTCTTTGTTTTACTTAATTTTAGCTAATCAGGCAAGGACTGCGGCGGAGAGGCTCTAACGGGGAATGCTTTCTTAGATAAAAAGGAAAGACTTGGGATTTTTCTAACTGAGAGCTTGATAGCGGGAATGGAAGGATGTGGGAGAAAAAAGCAGACTTAGCTAGCGTTGTGTCTATGGGTGTGATCACAGTGTGGTGTTAATTCTTTAATGCAAATTATTTCACCCTCCCCCCCTTATATATTTAAATACCATCACAGCAATGATAAGATTTAATGAAGTAAAAATTCTGAGTTGTTTAACAGCAACTTAAACAATAAAATAGTTCATGAATATTTTAGGGACGTTTGCACAGTAAACATTTATAGTCATCTTAAAACACCACTCTCACCTATCGTCCCAATTGAATAATTGTTTATATTTTAGTAAGCTGTTTGACTCCCTGCAAGCAATGAGGAGTTAACATTCATGAAAGCAAAATGTCATGGAACTGAATTTATATTTTTATCTTAAAATCAGAAGATGGCATTGGAAATTGTCCTGCATAACATTTCCTTCTCACACCATTTCAGACATAAATATTCTGGCCTATGCATGGCAAAGGAGTTTTTAACACATCAAGAGAGTTATTCCTTTAGTAATATGTTATAGGGCAGTGCGACTACTTCTGTGATTAGTATTTGTTTTCTCTGGGAAGGATGTGTGCTAACTGGAAGGTGGGATATTGGCACCTCATTTTACTATTATAGCATTAGCATAATAGTGCCCAAAACAGATGTACAGTCTGGTCTGGCGATTTTTTTGTGCACCAACCTCCCCAGTGGGTCAATTAGAGAGATTATTGTTCTTCCTGCAGGGAAGATCAAGGAGCGCAGCAAAAACGGGTACAAACAGAGAGGGATTGACATATCGATTTCCCAGCATTTCAGTAAAAAACCGAAGTTGACAAATAGAATCCGGAAATCTCTGGGCTGTCACCTGGATGGGCTCAGTGATTTTGAGCTCAATTCAGTGTCTGGGTGACATATTCTTTCTGAAGGTTTAAAAGACCTGATGCAAGCATCTGCAGGGAGTTTGATTTCACTATTTCCCAAGTACACCTGGAAAAGGAAATTAAGTATCTATAATTGTCAGTAAATAGGTAGTGTGAAGTGGAAAAGGCACCCCTCAGCAAAAACAAAACAAAACAAAAATAGAACGAGCTAATTTTTCAGACTGCTAAATCAGAAAAGATGAAGTCGTCATAAAAACAATCAAGGAAAGGAGCAGGGGCTCCCCTTAGTCAAGGCAATGATAACTTAAGGTACTTTCAATTTAAGGCACCTTTATTGTAATTTCCTTTTCTTTTAAAATTCCAGCGGTGGGAAGATCAGACACACTTTTAGAAATACTTTTAGGAGCTCCCCCCCCCCCAAGACCCATCACTCCCAGCCAGTGGAAGAGGATATTGTTCTTCTCTTACGTGCTGGCTAAGGTCCAAGAGAGTGTGTGAGGATGGTGGCAGAATATAGCCCCCCGGAGACCCAAGACTGGCTTGGGAATGTGAAAGTGTGTGCCAAGAGGACGCGCCGCCCTCCTCCATTCCAGGTTAATTTAGGACTCTGTCTGGGTCTCTGTTGTAGGAACAAAGGAAGAAGGAGACCGGGAGATCACGAGTAGCCGGGAGAGCCCCCCTGTGAGAGCCAAAAAGCCCCGAAAAGCCAGGACGGCTTTTTCTGATCACCAACTCAATCAACTGGAACGTAGCTTTGAGCGGCAGAAGTACCTGAGCGTGCAAGACCGCATGGACCTAGCAGCTGCGCTCAACCTCACTGACACCCAGGTTAAGACCTGGTACCAGAACCGCAGGTAAGAGGAGTTGTGAGACTGCACCAGGTTCTGGCCATCCAGGTCAAAACCACCCCACCAAAGTCCCTCCCGCCTGGTCTTAGAAGACTCTAGGGACTAGGAGTCAGAGGGCAGGGAGTAGGCATTCCTGGCTTTCAGATGGGAGCAGGGATTGGCCACACCCCGCATGTGAGAGGGATCCCGGGGAATCTGCAGCATGGAGAATTTTGCACTTCTGAATATCGTAACAGACGCTGCTTTCCCTCTGATACCCAAGTGTCTGGAGTTTTCCCCACTTCACCCTAAAATCAGTCAGGCCGTTCTCAATCGTGACACATACAGCTGACATTTAGGCCAGTGGAGCTTATGTGCCGGTACCTCTTGGGCCTGCCGCAGGCTCCTTCTGGATGTCTGTGCTGGCCACGCAGCCTGGCTGTTTTGCTCTGAAGCGTGGCGCCATTGGCCTCCATTTAAATGTCCTTGCCTTGGCCTATGAGGTGGTGGGGGAGAGGCAGGATCAACAGTCACAGGACAGGAGAATCTGGCAACTGGCCAAGGGTGTGGACTGGGGGTGGGGAGGGAAGGGTCTGCTCCCTGCTGCCCACCTCAGAGTCCACCAGGAACCATCGCTTTCGTTGAAAGAAAAGTAGGAAAGGAGCTGGCAGCGCTTGAGACCCGATCTATAAAAATCTATAAAGTGGAACCCGGCATACTGAGACGGAGGTCATGCTGAGTGGAAGTCCAAGCCCGGCTCCTTCTCTCAATTTCCTTCCCCCTCCGCAGTCCCTAGTCCGTGTTCTAATCGCCCATAAGCGTGCTTGGAAATGCCCATCCAGTTGTCATCTTTACCATCATTTTCTGTCTCATTACATACGGTTTCAGCCACCCTAATTCTGTCGGAAAACATTAGTGTCATTTGTAGCCAATTTAAAATGGGCGACATGTTTATTAATTTGGCTGGAGCTGCCGGGTATGGACAGCCCACCAGTCCTGATTTCCATGGTGGGGCTTTTGAGCAAAGGCCTGCTTCCTGCTTGCCTTTTCTTTCTGGTGGGGGTTTCTTTCTGGTAGGGCAGGGAGGAAATGGATAAAAGACGATCACAGGTTTTAATTGTTACTCTCTCCCAGAGGAGAAAGTATCTTGAAATGCATTTCCCCCCCCCTCCCGGAATGGCCAGGAGGTGCTGTCCCCTTGGGAGAGCACTCCCTCAAATGAATTCCGCTTGGAGACCTCCTTGCCTTTCTCACCCTAAGCAGCCCCCTGCCTTCCTTAATGTTCTGTCAGGCTGATGAGAGAGTTGCGTCTCAGCAGCCCCGGGGAATGAGAGGGGCAGGTGGGAGAATTCGCGGTCTCTGTGTCCCTTTGTTTACCGTTTCCTCACGGTTTCCTCTCACTCCTTCTGGAGGAAAGGGGGAGGAGCAGAGAGCCAACACTGGGGTTGTTGGGGGGCCACTCCAGGAGGGACTTACTGAGGGAGAAGGTCGCTCAGAGAAAGAGGGGTCTTGGTTGAGGACAGGAGTTTCAGAAAGTGGCTAACTCTAAGGGAGATAACGGTGGAGCTGCGTGAGCAGAAGGTAGTGAAGCTCAGAATGTTCCATCTGTGAATATCTCAGGCTTTGCTGATGTAATTTACAAAATTGACCTGGATTTGGGTCACTCTGTGAGTAGGAGAGTGGCTGGGGAGACTAGGAGAACTTCTCCGAGTTCTCTCAGTCCTGAGAGAAGAGAGAGGAGGAAGAGAGTTGAGAGAGCAGAGCAGGGGCCTGGGCCTGGCGGCGCCCGTACCTGGGACGCTGATGCCTCCATTTTTTTTTTTTCTTTCAGAACTAAGTGGAAGCGGCAGACGGCTGTGGGCCTAGAGCTGCTGGCGGAGGCAGGAAACTACTCCGCACTGCAGAGGATGTTTCCGTCGCCTTATTTCTACCACCCGAGCCTGTTGGGCAGCATGGACAGCACTACTGCGGCAGCGGCGGCCGCAGCCATGTACAGCAGCATGTACCGGACTCCTCCTGCTCCCCATCCCCAGCTGCAGCGGCCCCTGGTGCCCCGAGTGCTCATCCACGGCCTGGGGCCTGGGGGGCAGCCTGCCCTCAACCCCTTATCCAACCCTATCCCAGGAACCCCGCACCCCCGGTGAAGAAACTGCAGACGCCGCAGCGGCCCCTTCCCCAAGTCCCCTCCCCAGCTCGGACTGCGGCCCCTCCTCTCCCAGCACCGAGCCTTCCGGAGACCCTGAAACCGACCAGGAGGCAGAAAAGGAAGAAAGGAAGACTGTCTCCGCGGTGCTGGGGTCGGGCGGGCGGGCCGCGAGGAGCCAGCCCTCTGTTCTCCATCTCCCCACCCCCCAGACAGGGCTGGAAAGCTCCTCCACACCAGTGTGACTGGCGAAAACGCTGAACCCACACAAAGTGCGATCAGTAAGTTTTAAAACAGCAACAAAAACAGAACCTCAAGTTCTTTTTAAAAATGACTTTAGGGACAAGCAGGAGGGAGGGAGGGGGAGGGGTAAGGAGGGAAGAAAGAAGGGCACGGAGAGGAGACAGCACAGCAGAACTGTAGATGGATGGACAGACCCAAATCCCGAGGCAGAGGGCGTTGCCGTGGACATTGTCTGCCCCAGAGAAAAGAGGAGGGTAACTGAGAACTTTGCACTGATTTCTCATGACCTTTTTTCTTTTGGAAAAGTGGCATGCTCCATAAAATGAAAAAAAAAAATGTACATTTGAAAGACTGAGTGATAAGTGATATATCATATTTATTATATGTTGTCCAAAAAAGAGTCACTTATATACATTAGTAAAACATTTTTCTTTTCATGTCTTTTTTGATTCAGTAAAATAAATGCTTAGACAAAAATATAGATTTTTTTGTGATTGAAAATTACAAAAATAAAGTTTATCTTTTTTTAACAAGTGACGAAATCCAAGGGAGCTGATTTTACTAAAGCAAAATGTGCAATAAGGAAATGCGCGAATTGGCTTAGAAAAAAAAAATCCCTCCCGGAATATCAAGAATTTACAAAATTTGTACAGACGTTGGAGTCGACTTGGACCAAAACAGCTCCGTTTTTTTCATGCTGGCCTCCCTCTTCCAGGCCCTTATTTGATAAGTGTAAATCTCTTCTTTTTGAGTAGCTGATTTCGGAGCAGCCCGCGGCTGCGGGGCGAGAGTCTGTGCTTTGTAGGCAGTCGGTGCTGGCCAAGCGGGAAGCCAGTTTCTCTGGCTGTCCCCGCTTGTCAGGCAGTCCCAGCTAAACCGGGTCTGCTCGCCGCCCCTCCTCCTTCTCCCAGGGCTCCGCCCGGGGCTTCGGGGGTCGGGAGCTCAGGGCTGCAGAGTCAAGGCCGGCTGGGGCTGGGTGGCAGGCGGGCTGGCGGGCTGGCGGGCTGGCGACTTGGCGAGCTGTCGGGCTGGCTGACGCTCCTCTGGCCTCGCAGCTGTTCCGCAGCCCGCGGCTGGGCGCCCGCGCTGCAGGACAGCCTGCGAGCGGAGACTGCAGGGCGGGCAATTAGGATTCTCCCGGGACTCCGCGGGCTCCGCTAACAAACCCCGGTCGAGGCTTTGATCCTTGCGTTCTCATACCCCTGCGGGCATCTAGCCTCTAGCCCCGCACCTAGCTTCTGGACATAGTGAGTTCGCAGTGCTGGGATGCCTGGGGTGGAAATGCAACTCTGGATGAGACAGGCTGCCCAGCTTTTTATTAGCATCTTTGGGTCCAGAGGGACCCCCAAAATGAAAGGCCCTATGGAAAGGCTGGAGGAGGCCTACTTAAGCCAGCTTTAGGAGTTGGGGTCTGTGTATATATGCATGTATGTATGTCAACACTCCAAGTTAGCACTCCATCCAGATTGACGCCCCATTAAGTTCAGCATTCTAGATTCTGTGACAGAAGAAGTGATTAAGGGACACAGCGCTGGGACTGCCCACTTACCCCTTTCTGAAGAGCCAGAGAGTCAGAGGCCCCCTTATGTCTCCATTCTCATGCCTTCCCTAGTACAGTGTCAAGGAGCAAGGCATGCAACTAAAAGACATCCTGGCCGGTCATCCAACTTTCTCTGATGTTGGGATCTCAGTAGAGCTAAAAACGTTTTTACAGGTATGATATACTGCAGGAGTTTATATGTTGGGGTGGGGTGGACAGGAAGAAGGGAAGAAAAAGTTGAAATCCAGGAGGAAATTGCCTGGGGTGCCTTTATTGGACCTTGGCTAATTAGAGAGTGGTTTGCAGATTTCTCTCCAGCTCATCAATTTGCTTTAAAAATGGTCTTGGTCTTGGTCTTGATTCTAACAACAGGGTTTTTTTTTTGGCTGGCCTTTCTAGTTTCTCTCTGGGACAAACTCAGCTGGATGGGCTGGAAACTGTTCCGTGGAGATGCCAATGCATGCATACTCTGCAGGCTCTTGTTTCATCCTATGGGCTGTAGGGCTCTACAATTAAGTTCAAATAGCTAAAAAAAATGGTTTGTCTGAACCTTAAAAAGGTACTTTTCAAGGCTATAGCTTCTGTCTGCTATAGCTGGGCTAGTTAGCTTTGGATACAAAGGGGACTTCGGACTTCAGTGGAATTCACACATCCCAAGTTCCCTACAAAGAATGACCTTAGACCTAGTTGGAAAACACACACAAACTTAGGAATACAAACAAGGCTATGGCACCCATCTGCCAGCAGCAGCTTTCAACTCTGCTGAGGAGGCTGCCTGCTGCCCCTTCTCTCTCAAGGACAAACCTGAACTCAATAGGTGGAGGGCGCATTGGAAGTAGTACATCTACAGAGACCAAGCTTAATTAACACAGACTCCACTGCTGTTAGCAACTACTCTGTCTCCACCCAAACTTCCTTTTCTTCAATGACATGTTTTCTTTCACTCCCTAAAATGCACAACTGAAAAGTGTCAATTCTCCTTCTACATCTGTTTTGGTTGCTTCCTACCACAGAGAAGCTGGCAGATTGGATGTTGGGGGCAGGGGGGAGGAGAGTGTTGTCCTAGGAAGAAAGTTGAATGCTGGATCGCCTTTTAATTCCTTTCTTCCTGCAACAGCACTGCACAGGTCACCCCAGTAGGGAGGTGCTCTTCCAATCAAACATCCCCCAAACTGCTCTTTAAAAGTTAAAAATAAACCCAGTGTTTTTCTCTCAGAACGGGCTCTCCTGTCCTGTGCCTGCCCAGAAAGTTGCGGGTTGGATAGGAGGTGAGCAATGAACGCAACCCCAGTTTTTCTGGAAAGCAAGGGACAAGAAAACAGTAAAACGGTCTTTTCTCATGAGAGATCTGGAGTTAGTTACGGAAGCCCCAAGGATGGCCATCCCTGAGAGCTCAGCTGCTTTTTCTTTGCCCACCTTCAGCTGGTATCTGAAGGGCACTCCACAGGCAGGGTTTCATTAGAACTGTGCCTTTGATTAAGTGGGTGCTGGCAACACAGGAACTTTCAACAGCAATTTTTGCTGGCTACAGAAACAAGAAAACAAACCCGTTTCAGGGAGATGTTGAAACACCGCAAAAGGCCCCCTTATTTTGTCCACCCCAAGATCAACTTCAGGACCCCAGCAGACCTAGCACTCACTTATACCGAGCGCAAAGTGAGATGTTAACTCAGACTAGCAGTCAGGTGTTCTAGCCCAAGCCAGCAATTTCCAATGAGTTGCAAAGTAATGATTGCTGCTTACCTCCAAGCCTCCAGCAAATACACCTACCACCTTGTATCAATTTATTTTTGCTCCACCCCTTAAAATGAAAGCCCACAAGATGGCAAATTAGACAGCTGATTTCCTCTGTTGCAAATAAAGTCACTTCCCTCCAACCAAGATTCTCCTCCTCTCCCCCCTCCCTTCCTGCCATCTGACTCCAGCCTAGGCAGCCGGTCCCAGGAGCCTGTGAATCCCACCTCCCATCTTTAAACAGGCTGCTTGTGAGTAGTTTGTTTTGTTATATTTTTAACTTTCTAAAAATATTTGGAAAAGCTCTCCCCAGGGCTAAGGAAACTTTAGTTCCCGTTAAGCCACGTGGTTACAAAAATATGCTGGTAGAGAATCGCTTGGTTTTCTAAAAATTCAGATGCCGCTTGAAGTCGACGTGTTTGGAAAGTGACTGACTTATCATTACTGGTGGGCACCGTAAAGGGCAGGATCCAGCCTCCACGGGAATCGACGTTTCTTAATAGCTCTGAATCACTGGTGAGGGGAAGCTGACTTGCCCTGTCCCTTGGCAATTAGATAGAAAGCTGTGGGCAGAGAGCTTAGTGGGGGCTTCTCTAGGGTTTACCTCCTGGACACTGGGGCAGTGCTTCCCGGCTTCCTGTGTCTCCCACTAGAACTACGCTCAGTCCTACCTTCTTGGCTGGCTCCAGCCGACCTCCCTTTCCCTGGCGTTGGGGAATATGGCCCCTTGCCCCTTCCTTTTTACTGCGAGTGGACTGAACACCCCTACCGCTGAGTAGGGGTAAATATGTAGGAGTGGGGGGGCGGGGTGTGCGCTTTCAGAGAGAGTTATCACTGGCCTCTGCCTCGGAAAACCAGCTTCGCTGTCTCCAGACGATGAAATGACTCCAGAAGGTACTGTCTTCCTTCCCTCCTTCTGGTGGAAATGTTAAGACTCTGTCCTAATGTTGCTGGGTGGACTGTCTTCGCCGCCGTCGAATTCTGGTTCTCTCCTCCGTGCCCACACCCAGCCCTCCCGTGTTCTCTCTCCTAGCACCACAGACAGCTCCCAGGGCGCGCGGAGAAGCCAGCGGGCTCCGGGCAAGCCTCGGAGACCGCAGGGGGCGCGCCCGCGGGGGAGGTCCGCGAGGCGATTACAAAGCGCCCTCCCTGGCAGCGTTTCCTGATTAGCTTTAAGTCCAAACAGGGTCACATTCCAAAGAACAAAATCTTCAAATCAATAAAGTAATTCAAAACCAAAAGATCTCAGGGTAAGTAGTGCTCAGTGACAGATCAACTCTAAACCGTCCCTATTTAATAAGTTCTCAGCGGAAGCCTACGGGGGAGGAGCGGGCCCTTAGGTCTGCTTCTTCTAAACCCTGGCACAGCGGACGCAACGAGGTCGCCAGTGGAACCGCTCCAAAAGGCACTTTTTACTCCTCAGCGGGCGCAGCCAGCCAGTGCTCGGGGAACTGCCGCCTCGGCTGCTGGGAGCCCAGGAGAAGCGCTCCGCAGGCCGCCACCCTGCAGGTCGGGTTGGGTCAACCTAGATCTCCACCGCAGCTCTCCCCCCCCATCCCCCCCCCCTCCCTAGCCCGCTCGCAGATTGGGGCTCTTCCAGCTCCCGCCCCTATCCGGTCCCGGACAGCGGATCGCCACCGGGGGGGTGGGGGGTGTTTCACTGAAAGAGGAGGACCTTTGCGAACGCCAGATGAACTTGATTTACAATGAAAGGGGCTTTGTCACTTTGTGGAGCTGATAGATTCCCGCTCCTCTCTCCCTATCGCGCCCGACTCGTTC